TGAAAGATGTTGATTGGGTTGTATGATGAAGATGATATGATGATGATTCATGATGTTTAAGTTGATATAGATTACATAATGATATGTATGATGTTAAGTTGTAAGTTGGTTGATGATTAAGTTGTATGAGTTGTAAGATACTATGGTTGAGTGAATTGTTGTGTTGTAGGCATATATTGTAGATACATGTTTTTGTTGAGATACATAAAAATTATAAGAGAGTAAAAATTGTTTTAGAAATTAAAGTATTTCAGTAAGTAAGTTGACTTCTAAATGGGTGAATATTTTTAAGTTGTCTCCTTTAGATTTTATGTGATATTTGTATATGGCAAGATCGAGATATACGTGTATAAAATGACCAATCGAGTAAAATATAAAGTTGTGGACTTAGTCCCTAACCGAGTATTGAAAAGACATAGTATTTGAAAAGTTGTTGGTGGGCTAATCTCATAGCTGACTTAGTGTTGCAAACTAATGTCTTAGTATGCTCATACCCAAATTGTTCTACCCTAACAATAGTACTAGAGCTCCTAGTTGAAGTAATGAAACTTAAGAGGTTAAATTAAGTTGTTAAACAGGTTCTTTTTTCACAATTTCTCGGTGCATCTCCTTCGTCACACTTTAATGTATTCTTCTCTCTCTCTCATAATCTCTTAATATTTTTTATTCTTGTTTAAATGAATGTTAGTTATATTTGTGTTTCTGTCTCGGCTTCTTATTTTTCATTTTCTTGTTTGCACTTGATCTAACCATTTTCACTTTTCATGTTTCGATTCACCGAAAAAAAACTGTAATTATTAGTTCATTCCTTTCAAAGGTTTCACGTGATTTTAGTTATCCTTGATTTGGTTGCGACCAATTCTTACACATTATTGCACTTATTTTTTTTTACATAAATATTTATATATATATATATATGAGAAGAAATTCATTTATTCTAAGAGAATGTCTATCTAGACTTACTTCGTTTAATAATTCATATTTTACATTAAATTTTAATGATTTAATCATTAAATTTAAAATTACTAATGTATAAATCAAGTCTGTAAATTAAAAATAAAATATTATTTAATATTTTATTTAATTAATTCAAACTAACTTATAATCATAAAAATATTTTATAAGATTACTATTTTCATCTTTATTTCGATAAAGAAAAGAGAAAATAAATATCAGTTTCTCTTTTGTTATTTAGATATAATAAAAAAATTTGAAGAGAAAGTATAAGTGTCCTGTTGGTGGAGTAACATTCTCTTTTCTTGCGCCGGTTCTTCCGCCGATGAAGAGGCCAAGAGGATTTATGTATTTTAATTACTCAACATTTGTTTATTCCAAAGTTAGTAGTTGTTTTAACGTTTTTACTTTTTCTTCCGATTATTATTCTAATACCATAAACCGCAAAAGTAATCTTTTTAATATTCTAATCACAAAAAATATCTTTACGTTTTTTTCTCAATAACAACGAGGCATACACTTAAAACTATATGTAATATCTAAATTTTTCTCATCTTAGTTAATATCTTTTATGAGAGCGGGACACAACCGAAGAAGTAAAAAATTCTTCACAAACATAAAAATATTATTTTCATCTAAAATTTATTCTCACAATATTGTTTGAACAACAAAATAAAGAATTAATTAGATTGTAAAAGTTGAACAAGAGTCGGAGAAAAAATTAGTTTTATAAAACATTTTTTATAATATTAATAGTTCAGATATATTAAAATAAATAAACAATTTATATTTGAGGTTTAAATATGGATTATTATTATTATTAAGTCATTAATTATTCATTATGAATTTTTCTTATAAAGTTTAAATTTGTTGACGTAAATTTTAAATTTTACTCGATTTATATTTTTATATTTATCTTAATTTGCTACTTTAATATATTGTATAATATTTGTGTAGTTATAAATATAATTTTGTTTTCTGTTTGAGCATTTTTAATAATGTGTAATTGCGCGTTTATTTTAATTTAGCTTTCAAAAATGATTATTTTATAATTTTCCTTAAGAACTTGTATAGCAAATTATTCATTTTATAATTTCATCATTATACTGAAAATTCTCATTAAATAAATTATGTTTACAATGTAAATATAAAAATGGTTGCAACTTTTGTCAAACTTTATAAACAGTTTAAGAAAAGTCTGAGACTACATAGAGCTCTGAATGATGTGGTTGATAAATAGATTCCATCAGGAAATAAAAAAATTGAAAGAGTAAGATTGAGAATATAATTGTATATGGTAAATGGGGTATGAGGCATGAGGAAAGGCACGTGAGAGTGGGAGATATTTTGGGTGGTGGAAAGTGTAATATGCGGTTGAGAGTAAGCAGCATTCAGAACAGTACTAATGGTTGTTCAAACAAAGAGTGGACGGTATTAAATGAATGCTAACTTTTATATTATTTTTTTCAGTTATTAATAAATACTACAATAAAAAGGAGTTACAAATAAAAATATACTGTATTTTATCTTTATTATAAAATCTAAATTTTTAAATTAGTTTGATTATTTTTATAAAACTCGAATATTTTATTTCTTGCTTTTTTTTTTCTTTACAAAAATTTTTAAATCTTTTTTTTTATAATTAAGAAATGTAATTTATTAATATGAAAGAGAAAATTAAATATGAATAAATATTATACAAGTATTATTTTCTTAAAAAAGTGTTTGACTTATGAAAACTTTTTTTCTTTTATGAGAATTTAATGTTGGAAAGTTTGGTTTGATATTTTAAAAAAATATTTTAAATTTTTTTTTAATAATTTTTTTCCTAGCTTTCTTCGGAGTATATTCTCATGGGAAGTAAGGACCTAACATTTTTTTTTAGGTATAAATAATTTTAATGTGATAAAGAGATCGTGTTACATTAATTTAATTATTTAATATAGTTAAAAAAATCTTTGATTCACACGCAAAATTTATAAATATTTTTAAAAATATTTATAATCATTCTTAAAAATCATGAATATTAGGAATTATGATTCTCATGAATGAAAATTAGATGTGTATAAAAAAACATATCTCCTAATTGTATCAGGATCTTATTAGTTTCCTTTAAATGATTTTATATTTGTTCTTTTCACAAATCAATAAATACAATAAATTTATGTGTTTCTTTATAAAAATTTTAAAGTTTTTTGTTATAGAGATTTTTATTTTACACTACAATAAATGTATACTAATTGTAAATGTGTAAATTATTTATTACATTTATCCCTTTATAATGAGAATTTGAATTCTCTCTAGCAATCCTCTCTCTCTGACCTCTCTCTAGTAACGATAATAATTATTGGATATATCTAATAACTCAAATTTAATCTTATAAAAATTATTTAAGAAATTATATTAATTATATTACAAAATTAATCAAAATTATCATAATATTATTTAAAAAATTACATTAATTTTGTAATAATATTTTTGACTGTACAATAATAAAAATTATTTAAGAAATATATATAACTATATTGATAATAGTTAACATTTATTTAAAATTTTTATAAGATTGAATTTGAGCTATTAGATGAATTTGGATTAATATAACTTAAAAATTTAAAATAAATGTTAACTATTATCAATAATAATATTATAATAATTTTGATTAATTTTTTAATATTATAATTAATGTAATTTCTCAAATAATTTTTATAAGATTGAATTTGAACCATTAGATATATCCAATAATTATTATTATTGCTGGAAAGAGGTTGGAGAGAGAGAATTGTAGAAGAGGATCCAAATCCTTATAATGATCGTTTAAGATCATTTTATACAAATCAATAAATATAATATTTTTAATTTTTTAAATAATGAATTTTATGTTTTCTATAATACCTTTTTAGTTTTGTTTCATAATAAATGTAGTTGTCATTTATAAATTAGTTTAAAATTAGGTAAGATGTAAGTAATATAGAAATTAATGTTATTTTGATATTTAAAAATAAAACAAAATTGTACTAAAAATTTAATAGATAAAAAAGAACAGGAGAGTAAAAATTAAATAAAAAGTGATAATGTTATCTTAAATATTAAAAAGCATAAATAAATAAAAAAATTAATATATTTTTATTTCTTTTACATATGATTTAGATTTATTTTTGATATTTTAAAATTAAATCATTTAATCATACAATTTTAAAAAATAAAATGTATTTTAGTTTTCCATAATCACATGTAACATTACTCGCAATAATATTAGTTGAATCTAATATAATATTTTCAATAAAGTACTTTAATATGTAAATTTTGTATAATAAATCTATCCATAAATAAATTATATTTAACATATCCATGAGAACATCTATATAGAGAAGTTAAAATAAGTTTTTTTCTTAATACAAAAAAAATTAAATTTACTTTATATTTAAGAAACCAAGTCATAAACAAAAAAAAACTTTTTAGAAAATAAAAAAATTTAAAGATGAGTCTACATATACATGTAGTAAAAACTAATTTGAAATATAAAATAATTAAAAGTGTGTAATAAAATATCTTATATTACATTGAATGAGATATATAATATTTATTTTTTATTTATAAATTATTGTTGTACGTATGGTCACGGACCCTTTAAGTGGTAATGAATGAGTTGGGTGGAAGTCAAGTGGGTAGGGGGGAAGTAAGGATTGCGTCATTAATCAAACATGTTGGAACACTATCTTGTGGATCTCATCCTTCTTACCAAAGCATTAACCAAAGTATTTATGATGAACTAAATAGATATTTAGTATTCCTAATAACTATGATTCTCAAACATAAAAAAAAATAAATGACATTCGTCAAATGTGTCCTAAACTAAACATATGAAAACCATTTTAGTAAAATTTGGGGCTGGAACGAACAGAAGGGTCTGTCTGTGTTTGTGTGAGTGGTAAACTGGTAATTGGGTGGAGGCCAAGTGGAAAGGAAAAGTAAGAGCGCAAGTGGGAAGGAAAACTAATGAATAGTATTATTATTAGCCAAACACGTCCAAATACTATATGTGGGGCCCACCCTCCTCACTCGAACTGGTCACACACTGCTTAAATACGACCTTTCTGCTGCTCACAATCCTTGCCCCTCTCTCATTCATTCCCTCTTCTTCACACAATTTCTCACCACACTTTCAGGTACTCTTCTCTCTCTCATAATCTCTTCATTTTTTATTTTTTTTTGTAATCTTCGTTTAATGAATGTTATTCTTATCACTGTGCTTTTGCCTCGGCTACTTATTTTTCATTTTCCTATTCTCGCTGGATCTAACAGTTTCCGCTCTCTGCTCTCCGCGCTTCGATTCACTGAAAAAACTCAGATTACTACTTCATTTCTTTCCAAGACTTTCCGTGATTTTAGTAATCCTTGATCCGGTTGCGACCAATTCTTACACGTTGTTCTGCTTGTTTTTTCTCCTCAATATATTCTGCATAACTCTATCTGCGCATAGTTAGCGATGCATCTCCTTCGGATCTAAGGAGGAATGCTATTTTTCCTCCTTGTTGTTTGTCGTATTTCCGCTTCTGCGCCGAGACTCCATAAAGTGGCAGCATTGTCTTCTTCTTTTGTGTAGTCCATGTTTGTGTCGTAAATCTAGTGGGAGATAAAGGGAAAGATATGAAAGCTAGTGTAGGGCCATATCTAGTTTTTTTTGCTTATTGTTTCTTGTTGGAAAAGTCTTCCCTTTGTTTACAGATCTGGATATGTTTAACGTTTACTCTTCTTAATTCTGTATGCTTATTTCTTTTCATTTTTTTGTATATGGATTATTTTTAATTAGAAAAAAAATAAAGCTTTTGGAACATCCAATTAATTTTGGTTTCTGTGATCATTATGTAAATCTATACCAATTTTGGGCAAGGGAAAATGGTCCCTGCTCAAGTCCATTCCAGGATGAAAACAAAAAATATAAGCGGCTATAGAAGATCTATATTCTTCTGTCCGTAATGATAGCGTGTTATTGTTTTCTTATTCCTCTTTGCTCTTGATAACAAGCTGGTTCAGTAATTCTATTTGCCACGATTTATCTGTATGTAATTAAAAAGAGTAGGGTGTTATCACACTAGTGTAGAGATGGGAAGTAATGAACTAGAAAGATAATGAGAAGAACATGTCGACTGCTAGGCACTGTTTCAGTTAAAGCATTTTCTACTTTGAAGAGCAAACAAATTGTACATTCTAATTCTGTGCGTTTAGAAACTAATAAGGTAGATATTGCTGACAATCCTTGATTGTATGTTCATGAAAAGTGTACAGTCACATATGAAAGAGCTGTGCTTAGTGCTTAGAACTGTTGTAATGAAATATACCGATATGTCATGTGCAGGCTGTGTGAAGATGGGGGCTGGTGGCAGAACCTCTGTTCCTCCCTCCAACAGGAAGTCAGAGAGTGACACCATAAAGCGGGTGCCATTTGAGAAACCTCCGTTTACTCTGAGTCAGATCAAGAAGGCCATTCCACCTCACTGTTTCAAGCGCTCTGTTCTCCGCTCATTCTCCTATGTTGTTTATGACCTCACCATAGCCTTCTGTCTCTACTATGTTGCCACCCATTACTTCCACCACCTTCCCCGTCCTCTCTCTCTCTTGGCATGGCCACTCTACTGGGCTGTCCAAGGTTGCATCCTCACTGGCGTTTGGGTCATTGCCCATGAGTGTGGCCACCATGCATTCAGTGACTACCAGCTGCTCGATGATATTGTTGGCCTTCTTCTCCACTCTTTTCTCCTAGTCCCCTATTTTTCATGGAAATACAGCCATCGCCGCCACCACTCCAACACGGGTTCTCTTGAGCGAGATGAAGTGTTTGTGCCAAAGCAGAAGTCCAGCATGAAGTGGTACTCTAAATACCTTAACAATCCACCAGGCAGAGTCATCACACTTGCTATCACCCTCACACTTGGTTGGCCCTTGTACTTGGCTTTCAATGTTTCAGGCAGGCCTTATGAAAGGTTTGCTTGCCACTATGACCCCTATGGCCCCATTTACTCTGATCGTGAACGCCTTCAAATATATATATCAGATGCAGGAGTACTTGCAGTATGCTATGGCCTTTTCCATCTTGCCATGGCAAATGGGCTTGCCTGGGTCTTGTGTGTTTACGGAGTTCCATTGCTAGTGGTGAATGGATTTTTGGTGTTGATTACATACTTGCAGCATACTCACCCTGCATTGCCACACTACAATTCCTCTGAGTGGGACTGGTTGAGAGGAGCATTGGCAACAGTGGATAGAGATTACGGAATCCTGAACAAGGTCTTCCATAATATTACGGATACCCATGTAGCACATCACTTGTTCTCTACGATGCCACATTATCATGCAATGGAGGCTACAAAGGCAATAAAGCCCATTTTGGGAGACTATTATCGGCTCGACCAGACACCATTTATCAAGGCAATGTGGAGAGAGGCTAAAGAATGTATTTATGTGGAGCCAGATCAAAGTACGGAGAACAAAGGTGTATTTTGGTACAACAACAAGTTGTGATGATTAATGCACCCGGGCATCTTGTCCTTCAGGTGGGAAGCTTTACTTTCCTTTGTGTCTGTTTAGGATTCATGCTTGAATAATTTTGTTGAACTCTGATGTTGGTAGTAGTAAAAAGACAGTAGAATAGTAATTTTGTTCCCGGAATAAGATATAACAACTCTGAACAGCTTGATTATTGCACCATGGTTTCGTTTGAAATCAGTTCAGTGCTTGTCTACCTAGTTTCTTAAGGCTGTGAGGAAAGCTTATTCTTGTTCTAGTTCTTGACTCCAAGTCATTCGCATATTTCGTTATTGACTCGGAATCCTTAACCTTGCTTATTATTTTCTCACTCATTAGTATCTAAATGTTTTCGGATCATTCCTCTTGAAATGATTTACATTTCTAATTTGGCTGGAGGATGCAGAATATTAATTATTGAACTTGTTTTCTAAACGTTGAGTCGGATCTTTTCTAAATTGTAGTTTCAGTTTTAACCGTTTCTAAAATTATATTTTTATCCTGTGAAAACGTTTTAACTGTTAAGATCTAGTTGCGTCTTTCAGTTGGCTAGTGAATCTCAAAGGAAATTCAGCGCATAACTTTTTTGACTTTTTGACTTAATCAAAATTTTGTTCTCTATAAACTATTTTTTTTTTTTTTTTGAAAACGTTTTAACTGTTATATAAGATCAAAATTTAACTTCCAGTCCGTATAATTTGACATTGCCGGAAGTAACTCGAAAATATATATTTTATAAATAGAACTGAATAGTAGAAGTTGCAGATTTTTGCTATAGCCTTGAATATGCTCGTCTTTCTCTTTACCTTATAGATCTGATTATACGGTACATCATTAACCTTGCTACACCATTTTGTGATCGCTCAAATTAAGATTTCTAGCTAAACAAAATCTGGAAACAATCAATTGGAATCCATGTACCTTTTCCACTTTATTTTGACGTTGGTGTGTAGCATGCGAGATATTTTTTTAATGAGTATTCTGTCTGTTTTAGGCACAAGTGTTCCATTACGCATTGTGAGCTTGAATCCTTGAATATTCCAACAGTTTCTTAACTGAGAATTGAGTCATATTCTCGTTGACGACTGAGAAACCCAGCAAGAGCCATTTCGAATTTAGTTTTATCACAAAAATATACATCTTTTCATTTTCAACCTGTCTGAATAACCACCACATGCTCTTTCACGTTGGAATGATATAATCCAAAACTAAATTTCTTTCCAAAGTGCTGGTCAATTTGATTCTTGATTTTATAAAACTATCGTTTAAGCTTGGAAGATTGTTAGCCAAAAAACACATTTTTTTTACACCAATGCATAATTTTTTATCCACCAAACACTTTTTAATGGTTCAGAAAAACACTTTTTAATATATTTTTTTCTAACACGTTTTTTTTACTATTTGTTAAAGTTTATTGACTTTTAATAAATTTATAATAATTGTAATGAATGTGTTCAAAAGTGTGTTATTAACAATTTCTTTAAAATAATCTTTTGATTTCTTAATAAATTAGTGGTTATGTTAGTTCCTTTAGAAAAAAGAAACTAGCCTAGGATGTCTTTTTTTCTTCTTCTTTTTTTATTATTATAATAATAATGATGTTACAATAGTACAATTCATTATGAATCATTAATATAAGTTTAAGAAATAGTGGATTAAATATATTAATGTGTCAAGTATTTTAAGAATGTAACTTTATATCATATTTATATTATCAGTCGCGAATACAAATTAATTTTTAATTGTAAAGTTTAGAATATTATGTGGATTATGTTCATGGAAAAAATATTTAAATTAACAAGAGAGGAAGTGCTTTATTATCTTGAAAGGGGTCACAAAAATTTTTAATAATCATCATCAACATGCATATTATGAATCATTGTTGAATTTTTGTGTATAAACATTGTCTAATCATTAAATTAATTTTTAAAGACTTAAAATATGGTTTTTAGTCCCAATAAAATATAAAAGTTTTTATTTAGTCCATATAAAAGTTTGTCTTTATTTTTTATTTCTTTAAAATTTAAAATAATTATTTTTACCTTTTCCTATCACGTAATCTTTTTCAAGGGCTTATATGTTTGTTAAAATGTTAAATGATTATCTTAGCTGATGTATACAATTGTTTGAGACACTATATTAACATATAACTTTGCTAGATTTTTTTTATATATACTTAAAATCAATATTATTTATTTATCACAAAATGGTTGATAAGATTAAAATTATTAACTTTAGATTTTAGATAGAAAAAAAATCAAAGAAAATTATTTTTTAAGGACTGAAACTAAAATTTGCTCCTTTCACAAAGATCAAAAATAATATTTATAAATTTTGCAAGAAAGCAAAATAGATTTTTTTTATAAGAATCAAAATCAAAATTAACTTATTTTATAGGAACTAAAAATATATTTAAACTAATTTTTAATTATCAATATAACTATGAAAATAAAATCAATTTAATTTCAATTGATGAATTTTAATAACAAAATGATGAATAGTCATGGCATGCTCATAACATACCATTATAAAAGAGTTTGAAAACTTTGGAGAAGAAATTCATACATTTTGCCTAATATAAAGATGGAGATGCTCCTTCTTTTATGACGACTATGATTTCTCACGTAATGTTGTGTTACACAAATTTGTCTAGACAAAATTATTACCACTAATCAACAATACTATTACCATTCTCTCATAATTTTTGGCAAGAAGTTATAAATATTTTCTTTCAATGAAACAATGCAAAAAATATGACTTGAGGTTTTGTTAACGTTTGATAAAAACATTCTCGTTTTTTCATCCATAAAATGGAACTTGTTACGAAGAGATTTTACAATAACCTACGCATTTTGTTTAACCAGCTAAACTATACCCCTTATACTTTTTTTCATTTAGTAGTCATGACTCTTAGATGAAAAATTAATTAAAATAATTATATTAGAGTGGTATCTATGTAAAAATAAATAGATGGGAGAAAAAAAAAACTACATTAAAAACCCTTATACAATAGACGTATGAATTATTTGCATAATTATATTTTTTTCTCTAGATTTTTTTCTTCAATAACCATCAAGTCTATGTTTTGCATCCTAATTCCTAGATTGAGAATCACATTCCTGTGAAGCTAAACACACAAGATTGGTCATATGCAAATTTACACTTTAGTTAACATTAACATTTTTTTTCTCCAAATTTGTCAAATATCAATGATTAAATTTGAGAATATTTTTTGACAAAAAACATCACAATAAAGGTGCCATAAAAATTTTCCCCTGAAGAAAGAAGAAAAATACTCTTGACACTTTTTCTAATATTTTCTTTATTATTAATTCAACAATCTTTTATGAGTTTTACTATTTATTTAATGAGTTTTTTTTTTCTTGATTTAGTAGTAAGATTTATCAAAATTTATGATTTTCAATAAATTTTAAGGAGTTAAAAAGAGAATGTACACATTCCTTATTATTTGGACAAGAGTGGTAATTAAAAGATAATGTTCTTATTATTCGTAAACTTGGATTTGTTATATAAGAAACAATTTCTTACTACTTAACACTCATTTAGTGTAGAGTTCAAGTTTAAAAGTGTAGAGTTCAATAAATTTTATTTTAATGAACTCGATTTTAATCATTATATATACTTAAAATATATACTAAATTTATTGATCTTGGGATGTGATTATGTCTGGCATGCGTCAAAAAGATGTCAGAATTTACCCTTACCAACCTCAACTCTTCGCTCGACAATTTGGACTTTGTCAGATGAAACCTCTCCCTCTTCGATGTAAAGAAAAAATAGATTCTGATATTTGTGTCGAGAGAGGGAACTACGAAGAAGTTTTGGAGTTCATCTTACGTCCTGCAAAACAACTTCACCTCACGCCTTGCTCTTTTTCCCCTTCGTTCTTAGTTTCTCGATGTTTTCTTCGTTGGTGGTGTGAGTATCATGTTGACAAAATGATCGACTTCGATACATTTTTAACAAAGCTGATTAATTCCCCACTTTCTTCGCAGGGTCCCAAACAAATAGGTACTTTCAAGAATCAAACTATAATTTATCAATTCGAACAATTTTTTAAGGTTTGTTATCGACCTGACAATGTGCATCGAACCATCTTTGACGCTTCGGTCTCGTTATCGAAAATGGTACAAAGGAACATTCGCTCAAAAAAGGTAATAAACCTTCGAGGTAAAACTGATTTCGAAAATTTTGTCCAAAACACATACCTCCTCTTCCGAATGCTCTTTTTGGTTTAGTTAAACATTTATCTCACCCTCCTTGGGTGAAGACACTCGACCCGTTTTACCTCGAGCGCAAAGAGATTCCTGTTAAGGATCGAGTTACCTATGCGAGATGTTCCGTGTATGATTTTCCTCGAAGCAAATGGTGGCCACTATGTTGGGTCAATAACGTTAACCCTCCTCCTGGTAAATGTCTTTCACCACTCTTCTTCGATTTTGATTTGAACTTATCTCATCTCTTTCTTCGAATTTTGCAGCCGTCATTCCTCAACGCGTTCCACAACATGTTGAGCAAACCCCTAATTGGGAGAGTGAGGATGACGAAGATAAGGAGACATCAAAGAAAGGTCGAAAAAGAAAGACCGCTGCTGACAAAGTTTCTTTACGTTCTAAGGTACCATTCACTTCGATTTCACTCTTTACTAAAATTTTTCGAATGTTTCATCTTACCTTTTCACGCCTTTACCTTACAGAGTATCGAAACTTCAAAGAAACAAAAAGTGAACTCAGGCAGTACCAACACTGTAAGTGAATCAACCCAAATACCAGTGTTACTCTCTTGCTCACATTTCTTAATAATACAATTGTCTTCACTTTCAGGTCTCGACCACTAAAAAGCAGGATAAAGGGAAAGGAAAAATGGTAGTTTCTCTTTCCAAGAAATCCCAGAAGCCTCCAACTGTGAAGCTTCTTCAAGATGCAATGAAATCGGTGTCAACGGTAAGTTAAAATTTTTCGATTTCATTTTCCCTATGCCATTGACTTCTCTAACACCTTTTTTATTGTAGGATGTTGAAGTCATCCAACTTGATTCTTCTCACGATGTGTAGAGAGATGTGCCTCTGGTTACTGGAACAACCCAACAGGTTCACTTTTCATTTTTTATTTGATCTTTCTCCCAAAACCTTATCCTAACCTTGTGATTTACTTGCAGTTAACCAACCCTCAACTAGATGTTGCTACGATGGCTTCAGTTTTGGCTTCGATAGAGATTCCTCCTCAGGTTAAAGAAGACAAGGTTCCTCAATCAGACCCTCTGGTGAATGAGGAGCCTAAGCAAGAGTCTGCTCAAGGTGAAGATTCTATCACGCTCCAACCCCCCTTGAGTCCAAACAATGGTATATTTCTTTTAACTTCACATCCTTATTGTGATTCTGAACAAAATTATCTTATATCTCTATTGTCTCTTTTTGTATAGATTCGACCAAGTCTCCAAGACCCTTCGCAACTTCTCTCTCAACCCAAAAGGATACTACCTCTTCCATCCAGGGCCTTTCATCAATTCCTTCCCCAGATTTGGATCTGATGAGCTTCTTTAATGACGAGGATGAAGATATTAATAATATCTTCGAGGTGTTGAACAATTGGACGAGTGGCCCTTCTGGGTCAGAAAAAGAAAAAGGAAAAGAAAAAGTCATCGAGCAAGGTTCTGAGATTCCATCTTATCAACCTTTGCTTGATTCTTTCCGATTGAAAGCGTATGTCGAAAACCTTGATCAAGCCTTTCTCCTTCCTACGTTTAAGACAGAAGTGGAATGGTCGAAGACTTATTGTCTTATTCGGATCTTCCTCCTGAGGTTCATTCTGAGTTGCAGGAATTTATTAAGCCCTTCAGCTTCGCATGGGATCTTTGAGCTCAATGGTCCACTGCCTTTCAGGAAGTGTCTCAGATTGAAATCGAAAGCGAGGACGACCGTGTTAAGCTCGAGAACCTTCGTGAGGAGTTGATTTCCATCAAGAGCTCAACGGCAGAACTGATTTCTTCCTTGCAAAAATTACAAAAAGAGGAGGAAGATATAGAAACAACTATCAAGGCTCTTCAACATGAATTGGACAAAACCCGCTCGAAGAAAGATGGTATCAAAGTCCAGAGTCAAGAAATCAAACAACGTCAAACAAGTCTCAAAGCTGAAGGCAAGGCCATATCTTCTCGACTTACGAGGACCTTGGAACAAAAGAAACACTTGGAGGCTCAATGTACTGCTCGAAGGCAAAGCCTGGATGAAGCTTATAAGGCTTTCAAGGATTTTAGATCAAAATTTTGTAATAATTAGATTTCTCCTTTCTATCTTTAATTTATATGATTAATATTTATATATGTGTTAGGGTAGTAAGAGTGTCACATATGTTATTTTATTTAAATGTCTAAAGATTGATTTTCTAACTTAAAATACAAAAGTCCTTATTTTTATTTTAAAAATGACAAGACCTAACACAATTCTTATGCAAAAATAGTTACAAATATAATAAAATTTTTAATATATTTTTAATCCTTTAAATTTAAGATAAATTAATTTTTAATCTTTTAAATTCAAAATATATTTTTTAGTCACGATAATTTTTTAAAAAATTATTTTAATCTCTATATTAAAATTTTATTAAAAAATTTATCAAATACTTTCATATAAAATTTTTATAATTTTTATATATGCTATTAATAATTTTTAATTTTAAAAATTAAAATTATATTTTAATCCTAAACCCTAAAAACAAATTTAAAGCAATTGTCTCATGCATGCAAAGTAAGCGCGCTCTACCATATGTTTAAAAATTATAAAAAGCCGATGTACTAAATGAGTGTTTATCATATAAGAACTCTTTTGTATCCTTGATGAGTACACTTGATTTTACTTTATAACTATTTACAGTATTGCATTTCATTACCGAGTGTGTGGATTAACTGTTACAGTTGCCTGGAGTTAGAGAAGATTGATTTAACTGATAGAAAATTATTTTAGATGTGATAAAAAAAAAATATAAAAATACCGGCAATTCGAAACTTTCAGTTTTGGGAGATCTCAAAAATTAATTTAATTGATGGAATATTGTGTTGATGGCATTTTGTAAATATCTCATTATGTGTGATGTTTATTATAGAAGTTTGAGTATTTGGATTACTAAATAAAGACGGAGAAATATTGGCATGATTTAATATGAAACCTTAGAAGTTGTGTCATGTGCCTATGTGAGGAGAAAATATGAATTAAATTGGCTATCCTACTTTCAAGAGTGTGGACTTGAATTTTGTTATATAAGGGTGAATTTTCTGCTTTCTTTGTATCAACATTGACAATGATGTGCCATGGTTCTTTATTTCAGTATTTCTCTGCCAATAATGCAGAGATCAGTGTGGTTCCACTCGTCAAGCCGCACAACTTCATGCACACAGATGATCACATAGTTTTGGAAGAGGAAAGTGGGCTGGTAAGCTCAATGGGAATCCCATTTTGCCGTCTGAATATGTAACAGGCCTATATGATGAACAACATACCTAAATTCATTAAAATAGATTGTGATAAGGAGGTTCTGAAACATGTGCATGTTAATTCCAAAACATTGGGTTTGGTATTTCAGCAATTTCTTTACTTTTCCTTTTTTTTTAGAAGGGGGTGTGGTAACAATATTGGATTGCTTTGTTTAATATTTATCTGAGCTATGTAGAAACAAAACATGTGACTACTTAATGATATCCGGCCTTGTAGGAATACAAATGAATGTCATCTAGCACATGATGATTTTATGCTAACGTTATCTGTGACAGGAAATGTGGTTGCTTTACTCGAAAAGGAATTGGGGGCATGTGACTTTTTAGTAAAGGAGGTCCTAGAAGCTGCCTTACCACCACAGATTGAATTTTCCCTTATATCAAGTATCTCTTGCAATCTTTTACATGTTTATAACCCAGTAAAGCACATGCATGGGATATTTATGGTTTTCTTCCCTAGATCTTAGCCAAACATGATAGACTATGACTTCCCATTTGAGGGTGGATGAATGTGTGGTGAATTAGCATCCCACTTGCCTAAAGTGTTGTTTCTGTTGTGTATTTAATCCGGTCCTTTATATAAGAAACAAAATATCTAATTTATCATGATCAATAAAAAAGGTTAAGTTGATTATTTTTAATGAATAATTTCATAACTTTAATTTTTATTCTAAAAATATTTCACAATTAAATGTTTTAAGTAGTGGTTACATTAACTAATATTCGAATTTACTCCCTCTTCCCAAAGTCCTAATATTTGTGTAGCATTTGGTTTCTTTTCCTAATATTTTTCTTCTTCTTATTTTAAGAGTAAATTTATTTAAATATATTTTACTTAATAACTTATATTTTACATTAAATTTTAACAATGCAATTATTAAATTAAAAGCTTTTAATATATATCAAATATGTAATTTAATTTTTTTAAAATAACTATTTGATATTTTATTTTATTAATTTAAATTAACAGATAATCATAAAAATATTTTATATGTTAATTTGAATTAATGAAATAAGGTATCAAATAATTTTTAAATTTTTAAAAAAATTGCATGGTTGATTTATGTATTAAGATTTTTTAATTTAACGGTTGGATCGTTAAAATTCAATCTAAAATGAGTTATTCAATTAAGTAAATATAATTAAACTTATTTTTAAAATAATCAGAGCCCTTCTCATATATATAAATTAAGCCTACAAAGTTTTAAAAAATTTGAAAAATTATTTAATACTTTGGTTCATTAATTTAAATCAACTTATATTTTTTTTATAATTATTCATCAATTTGAATTAATGAAATGAAATATCAGATATTTTTAAATTTTTTTAAAGTTTTATAAATTTAATTTATGTATGAAGAACTTGTAATTTAACACTTGGATCGTTGATATTTAATGTAAAATATAAGCTATTGAGTGATGTAAAATATGAGTTATAGAATTTTTTTTTCATTTTTCGTTTTTTTAAATATTATATATTTTTTTTAAATTTTAATTGTGCTAATTAAATCCCTAAATTTTCATTTCATTTACTATCAAGTTTTATTTTTTTAATTAGTTGTGACAAAATTTAAACTCTTAATCCTATGCCACAACATAAGCACAAACACTATGTTAACCTAATTGTGGTGTATTGAGATAATATAGATTAAATTTTAAGTTTAAATTTGATTGAACTAAATATTAAAAGACATTTACAATAACAGATTTTTTGTTTAAATAACTGATTCCTTATACCTTTTTTCCTTTATGTTAACATTGCTTGGATGAAAATTTAATCAAGATAAATATTTTAGGGTTGTATCTATGTAAATATTAGTTGGGGCCAAAAAAGCTACATCAAAAACCTTTTTAAAAAGACGTATGAAGTTTTGCATACTTATCTCTTTCTCTCGAATTTTACCTTCAATTACTATGGTGTCTCTATTTTGTATCCTACTTTCTAGACTAGAGAATCATCACATTCTTGTGAAGCTATAGAAACACAAGCTTGGTCATGCGCAAATTTACACTTAATTAACAATTTCTTAAAAATATTCTCTATTTTCAACTTATATATATATATATATATATATTGTGTTTTACCATTTATTTAATAAGTTTCCTTCCCTCTTGAATTAGTGACAACACTTTTCAAAAAATTTTATTTTTAATAAATTTTAGTCAATAAAGAAAAGAGTGTTAAAAAGAAAATGTTGTTAATTAACATTTTTTTTTGTTTATAGAAGAAAAAATTGATAATCAAACTATTGTTTATATTAAAAACAATATTTTTATTGTTTGGAAACTTGGATTTCTAATACAAGAAACGATTACTTACCATTAAAACTCATTTAGTTTAGTGTTGGATAAAATTAACTTTAATGAAAATGATTTGAAATCATGAAATGTAACTAAATATATACTAAATTGATTTTATTTACGTATTTTCAATGAAAATTATGTTGTTTTATTTAACAGCGATAATATTGATTTCCTATAAATAAATAAAAAATAATAATACAATCCCTTATTTAAGATTGTAACACATTACTTATGTAAAGAGTAACAGAGATGAGAGATGACACAATTCTAATGTAAAATAATTACAAAAATAATAAAAAAATAAAATTTTGATCAATGGAGATGCGGGGGATCGAACCCCGTGCCTCTCGCATGCAAAGCGAGCGCTCTACCATTTGAGCTACATCCCCGTTGAATCCTTGTCTCTAGCTAAACCTATAAAACAAGACACAACTTAAATGAGTGTTTATTATATATAATTTCGTCCCTAATGCGTAAAAACTTGAAAGAGACAATTGCAACGAGGGAAGTGTTCCCGCCTCGCCATGGGAATGGAGCGAGTGCAGTGTTCATATCACTCTCAGGTTCGGTGCTAACTCTTTTTGCCTCGTTGCATTTTGACTTTGTTGAAGAGTGTGATAATTTGATTTTGGCCGAAGCAGGATGAAGCCTTCAAAATCGGGAAAGAGACGTATCGGGGGCAGCAATACAGCCAGATTTACTTCGCTCGCCTTCATTTGATGAGAACTCTCTTGTATTCAATCGTTCCCCATTGGAAACCTAATTTTCCTGGTACTCTCGCCTTTTCTATTATCCTTCTTCCAGTTAGAGTCTGTTTGGTTCAGGGGAGTTGAAGAATTTTAATGGAAGAATGAGAAAGGAAATGACTTAGAAATTTTATTTGATTGGAAGTATAGAAGGAAGAGGAAGAAAATGATTTTAAAAATCAATTTATTATTAAGTAAAGATATTTTTAGATATTATATTAGAAATATTTTAAATTCCTTTTTTTTTTTTTTCTTTTCAAATATTCCAAAATTAAAGGGGAGCTAAAATTAGAAAGAGCAGTGGTTTTGCTCTTCATCATTTTGTCTCTCCTTCTCTTCTAAAAATTGAATTGAACTAAATAATGAAACTTCTTCCCTCCATTTCCTTTCAACCAAAAACTATGTTATGTTAATGTCATATTTGTGTGCAGTGTGGTGTTTCTTTGCTTTCAGGCTTCAATTAATTGCTTACCGGTTTCTGTTTCATACAGTGTGCACCGTGCTGGGATTGGAAGAAGGCAAGGAGTGTGTCATTGTTGGAACCCTCTATAAACACATGAAGCTCAAACCTTGCATCCTTGATGAGTATTCTAAGGAGGTACACTCGGTTTTACTTTATAACTAATTCGAATATGGCATGTGTATCACTGAGTGCTTGGATCGTCTGACACAGGTGACCAGTGATTTCGAATGCGAATCATGTACATCTAAATATATTCAATTCGAAAAGGATTGTCTCTATAGAGGATATTGCTTTGTACTTGTAAATATAAGTAAATTGTAAAAATACAGTTAACAAATATTTTGGAGAAGATTAATTTAATTGATAGAAAGTTGTTTTAGTGGTGATAAAAATAAAAATACTGGCATTTGAAACTTTTAGTTTTGGAATATCTAAAAAATTAGTTTAATTGATGGAACATTGTGTTAATGGCGTGATTTGTAACCTTCTCATTATGTTTGATGTTTATTGTACAAGTTTGAGTTAAGGAAATTAAGAAAAGCAAAAATGTTTTGTGGTTTGATTACTAATTAAAGGCGAAAAAACATTGACTTGATTTAATATGAAAGCTTAGAAGTTGGATCATGTGATTATGTGAGAAGGAGAATATGTATGTACATAGGTTATCCTACTCTCAAGAGTGAAGACTTGAATTTGTTATATAAGGTCAATTTTATGCTTTCTTTGTATGAATATTGGCAATAATGTGCCATAGTGCTTTATTTCACTATTTCTCTGCCAATAATGTGCAGAGATCAGTGGTTCCACTTGTCAAGCCGCACAACTTCATGCACCCAGATGATCACCTAGTTTTGGAAGATGAAAGTGGGCGGGTTAAGCTCAGTGGGAATCCCATTTCACCGTCTGAATATGTAACAGGTCTATATGATGAACAACTTATCTAAATTCATTAAAGTAGATTGTGCTAAGAAGGCAATTCTGAAGTGCATGTTAATTCCAAAACATTGGGATTGGTATCAGCAATTTCTATACTTTTTTTTTTTTTTAAGGGGGTGTCGTTCAATTCAAACTATATTGGATTGCTTTGTTTAATATTTATCTGAGCTATGTAGAAATAAATCATGTGGCTACTTAATGATATCCATTCTCGTAGGAATACAAATGACTGTCATGTGGCACATGATGATTTTATGCTAACATTATCTGTGACAGGAAATGTGGTTGCTTTACTTGGAAAGGAATCGGGGACTGGTGACTTTTTGGTTCTGGAGGTCCTAGATGCTGGCTTACCACCACAGATAGAATTTCCCATTAAATCAAGTACCTCTTGCAATCTTTTTTCACGTTTTTAACCCAGTAAAGCACATGCATGTCATATTTAATTATTTCTGGGATTTTTCCCCCAATCTTAGCCACACATGATAGACTATGACTTCCCATTTGAGGGTGGATGGATGTGGTGAATTAGCATCACACTTTCTTGTACGAAGTGTTGTTTCTGTTGTCTATTTAATACTGCCTCTAGTCCTTTGTATAAAAAATAAAATAAGTAATTCATCATGACCAATAAAAATGAAGTTAGTTATTTTTAACGAGTAATGTCATAACTTTAACTTTTTTCTAGAAATATTCGTAGAATTAAATGTTTTTAGTGTTGGTTACATTACTTGTGATCCTACTTATTCAAGGGATAATTTTTCCTGGCAATGAATGTGGCTTATATTGTTAATAGGCCAATGAATGGATTCACTTGCATGGAGAATGAGTGAGTATATCATTAATAAACTTCACAGTGAATTTAGGATATAAAAGAAAATTAGCAATTAATATACCTGAAAGGAAGGTAGTTTATGTTTCTTATAATTTGAAATAAAAAAATGCACCTAATGTTTTTATATAAGGGACTAGAGGTAGTATTTTCTCAGAAAGGGTTGTGCTGTTTGAAAAATTTATTATTTGTAGTCAGCAAGCATATATTATCTTCTCTTTCCC